CGCCAGGCATTGTGGTGGGTACTTGGCATCTCCTATGTAATGAAACTTGGCAATGATTCTGTAAAGAAGTTCTTGTGTCACAGGTGGGGAAACTGAGGTTAAGCGAGGTCACTCACAGGTGCAAAGTGGCAGAGCCAGGACATGGGCCATGTCTGAGTAACGTGAGAGCAAAGCCATCACTTGATTCTCCTTCTGTAGTATGGGAGGAGGGGCGCTGGGCCTGCCCTGTGGGGTTTCCCCTGCCCTTCTGAGCCCCTTCCCACTGCTTTTTTTAATATTTGCCCCTCCTACAGGCATCAAGGATGGGCTAATGTTTTCTGTAAAGGGCCAGGCAGTAACTCAACTTCATCCTTGTAATGCAAAAGCTGCCATAGACAGTAAATGAATGAATGGGTGTGGCTGTGTTCCGATAAAACTTTATTTAGAAGAATCCGCATCAGGCGGGACTTGGATCATGGGCTATATAGTTTGTTGGTCCCTAGTCTCAACCAGGAGACATTTCTGCCAGGAGCAATGGTGATCTGATAGGAAGCGATGTGTTTTCCATCCCAGATATACTTAGATATTAAAAGACTATCCCTGGGAACAGGCGGTACCTAGCCTCCAAGGGCAATTGTATCTGTGTGGGAAAAAGGGTAGTCGCTGTCTCTCTGTCCCTCAGATCACACCAGGAGGGTGATTGCCTGACCAGCGTGTGTCTTTGCTTAGGGACTGAGAGGATTCGCCAACTAGTACCGACCTGTGAATGCTGACCTAGTCATTAATTTCAGGTAGGAACACAGGGCGACTTGTTGTGTGTCCTTGGAGAAGTCATGTCCCTTCTCTGAGCCTCACTTTCCTCACATATAAAATGGGGATGAGCCTGCTTTGAAAACCATACGGTCCTGTGCAAGCTTGAGCAGCGATTCCAGTGGTCAGCATTGCTAATGCCGTGTGCTCCCTCGGAAACAACACCGTGAATTGTGAGGACACTATTTTCCATGCTTTGTTCTGTGCCTGTTCTTCTGCAACCCTATGCAGGTTGCAGCAGTGTGGCCTAAACAAGGTACAGTAAGAGCAGAGAGCCAGTGAAGTGCAATTGGTCACTCACCTGCTCTGAAACCATCAATGGCTCCCCCTTGTCTATTGATTAAAGCTCAGACAGCCTGGATTCAAGATCTTCCTCAGCCTAGCTCTTTCCAGTTTCTTTTCCTCTGAAACACCCCTACTCCAACTCTAGCAGTCCCTGAATGTTCTTGAACATTCTTGCCTATGTGCCTTCATTCCTGTTGCTTCCTTCCCTTGAAATGTCCTCCACAGACTTTTTAAAATTCCCAAATAGCTCTCCTCCATGCTAATGGATTGCATTTCCACCACTGGGGACTCATGTCTCTGGATAGTTAGCATAGCGGTGAATTTTAAAAGTCCGCATGTGACCTTGGCATTTGGCAGCCTATCACAAGCAGGTTCAGTTTATAGAGGATCATCCATCCCCCAAGGAGCCAGGCCAGGCCTGTGATTCAGGTCTGTGGCCACCAGGTGGGGGCAGAGGGTGCTGGCTCTGGTCTCAACTCCTCCCCACCCCCAGGCTGGCGGCGCGGAGGTAAAAAGTCTCATTATGATTACTTGGGAATTCATTAACTGCTTACTTTTTTGCTGTTGATGTTTCTGTATGCTTTCTTTTTAGAAATAGGAGAAATAAGTTAAATGATTCAAATGTAAAGTCAGGCTAGTAGCTTAAGAAAAAAAGATACACTTATATTGTAACTATATGTAGTTAGGCAAATGTGGTGCCTTCCTGTCCAAGCCTGAACTTCATTCCTGCTACGAGCTTCTACCTTGTTTAGATCCTTGCACACCTACGTTCTTGCCTTTGTGTCTGACAGCTTACTTCTCAGTGCCCTTCTTTATTTCAACTTTTTATGCGTCAGTTTTACCTCCTTTAATTTATACGTTTAATTATGACTTTGAGGACATTCTTTCTTTTTTTTATACATGAAGTGTTTTTATTTTTTTAGTAGTTTATTGTCAAGTTGGTTTCCATAGAACACCCAGTGCTCATCCCCACAAGTGCCCTCCTCCATGCCCATCTTCCCCCTCCACCTCTCCCCTACCCCCATCAGCCCTTGGTTTGTTCTCTGCATTCAAGAATCTCATAGTTTGCCTCCCTCCCTCTCCCCCACTATTTTCCCCCTTCTTCTTCCCCATGGTCCCCCGTTAAGTTCCTCCTAATCCTCCTATACATGCAAACATATGGTATCTGTCCTTCTCTGCCTGATTTATTTTGCTCAGCATAACACCCTCAAGGTCCATCCATGTTGCTACACATGGCCAGATTTCACTTTCTCATTGCCTTGTAGTATTCCATCGTATAGATAAACCACATCTTCTTGATCCATTCGTCCGTTGATGGACACTTAGGCTCTTTCCATGATTTGGCTATTGTTGAGAGTGCTGCTGTGAACATTGGGGTCCATGTGCCCCTATGCATCAGCACTCCTGTATCCCTTGGGTAAATTCCTGGCAGTGCTATTGCTGGGTCCTAGGGGAGTTCTGTTGTTCATTTTTTGAGGAACCTCCACACTGTTTTCCAGAGGGGCTGCACCAGTTTACATTCCCACCAACAGTGTAGGAGGGTGCCCGTTTCTCCACATCCTCGCCAGCATCTAGAGCTCTCTGATTTGCTCATTTTAGCCACTCTGACTGGTGTGAGGTGGTATCTCAGTGTGGTTTTGATTTGTATTTCCCTAATGAGGAAGGATCCTGAGCATCGTTTCATGTGTCTGTTGGCCATCTGGATGGAGGACATCCTTTTTAGTCTTGGTGATTTTTCACCAGAATTTCTAAACTTAAATTGATCTTCTTAGCCATCCAAATCAAATATTTATTTTTTCATTCTCTTTTATAGGAAATGAGGGATTCAGTAGTACTGGCTTTCCCCCCCCTTCACTTTTCCACTTTTCTGTTTGTTCCTATTTTAGTCTAAGGATTAGCTAGCTGCTCCTCCTTTGTTTTCTAAACATTCTCTGTTGCAATTTTTTTGTTTTTTTGCTTTTATCTGTTGTAGTTTGCTTTTGTGCCAACAGGTGCATCAAGTAATTAGACCAGCGGTTCTCAAACACGCGTGTGTGTGTGTGTGTTTGTGTGTGTTTAAAACCCTGGAGGGCTGTCTACAACACTCTGGTGAATCTCACCCCCAGAAATCTGACCCAGTAGGTCTCCGGTGAATTTGCATTTCTGACAAGTTCCCAGGTGATCCTGGGATCCCACTTTGAAAAGCACTGCATTTGTTTTGCAAACACCCTTCTCCTTTTGGTGCTTGGTGACTTTGCTGACAAATGTCTCTATGCTCTGCATCTGTGGTGGCATCGAGATCTTGTGGCTCCTCTGTCCCTGTGAGAAATCCTTTCCTGGATTTAGCTCTTGAATTCTGGGGAGTTATTTTTTGAAAACTTTTTGCAGAAAAAAACAAAGACCAGTAGATTTCCCCTTCTTGCTGTTGCCTTCATTCATAATTTCCTTGCAGCATTCTGCTCCTTCATTGGAAGGGTCTGTGGTTTCTCAGATTGAAGTCCACTGCAAGAAACTCAGATTTTTCCCCCTGCTTCTGCTTGGAGGTATATAGGATTAGGAATTTTTCTTTTTTCTTTTTCGTTTCTATTTTTGAGAGAGAGGGAGAGAGAGAGAGGGAGAGAGAGAGAGAGAGAGATCACAAGTGGAGGAGGGGCAGAGAGAGAGGGAGACAAAGAATCTAAAGCAGGCTCCAGGCTCTGAACTGTCAGTATATAGCCCAAGGCAGGGCTTGAACTCATGAATTGTGAGATCATGACCTGAGCTGAAGTTGGACGCTTAACCGACTGAGCCACCCAGGCGTACCATCTTTTTCTTCCTTCCTTCCTTCCTTCCTTCCTTCCTTCCTTCCTTCCTTCCTTCCTTCCTTTTTCCCTCTCTCTCTCTCTCTCTCTCCTTTCTTTCTAAGCTCTACACCCAATGTGGGGCTTCAACTCATGATGCCGAGATCAACGAGTCCCATGCTCTACTGACTGAGCCAACCAGGTGCCCCAGGATTAGGAATTTTTTTCCCCCTTCAAGCTTGAATTCATGAATAGCAGTCTTGAAGTTGATCGTTGATTTTGCCTGGAACTCAGTAAGTCCGCAGCATGACAGCTTCAGCACAGTGCCTCAAATAATTTCAGTATAACTCGTTTTCCTGTGTACGTCTTATTTGCCTTGCTGAAGCACTGCTCCTAGGGTATCTTCACAGAACCTTCCATGCTCTTACCTCTGCCTGGAAGACTTGTAAGCATCCATCAGGTATCAGCTTGAATGCAGGTTTCTATGGGGCTGGCCATGATTCACTCAGAGTTGCACCCCTCGGTGTGCCCAGCCTGACCTGCATCGTGCCCACCCTATGGTGCTACTCATGGTATTTTTGTGTCCGCATTGCCTAGCCTGGTGTGTCATGATAGCAGCCACCATGTATTGGGTGCTTGCTGCATACCAGGCATTTTTGAGTCCTTGCAGGATTCCCGTGAGGTTTGGATACTCTTGTGAGCTCCTGGGAAGGCTTAGCAAACAGCAGTCTCTTGGGGGAACTAAAGTAAATGTGTTGCTGGCGGAATTAGAACACAAACTAGGTCTGTCAGCTTCCAGACCCTGTGCTCTTGGGCCCTCCGAGTCGTAGGCACCAGATACTTGCTGGGTGAGTTATGAATGAACAGGTGGCCGTGAAGAGTGCAGCTCCTGCTGACAGAAGCATGCAGTGGGTATGCTTTGGATGAGAGGGAGGATAGAGAGAGTTATAGGGCTGGGCAGAGCCTGGGAAGTGTTAGGGGTTGGGGGCGGAGTGCAGGCGGAGAGCACGCCCACAGCTAGGATATGGAAGGAAGACAGACTTTGTGACCCGGCACCTGGTACCTGGGAAAGGCCGTTCTCCGGAAAGGATGGGGACTCCTCCCGTAGTGATGGGCTGTTCTCTCCCTCCCTTCCTGTTCTCTCCCTCCCTTCCTGCCCTCCATCAGCCTCGGCCTTCATCATAGCCATGCTCCTGGCCAGCCTCAACAGCTGCTGCAACCCTTGGATCTACATGCTCTTCACCGGCCACCTCTTCCACGAACTTGTACAGCGCTTCCTCTGCTGCTCCTCCAGCTACCTGAGGGGCAGCCGGCCGGGAGAGACCAGCGTCAGCAAAAAGAGCAACTCATCCACCTTTGTCCTGAGCCACCACAGCTCCAGCCAGAGGAGCTCCTCGCAGCCATCTGCAGTGTGACCAGCCTGGGCCAGGACTGCCTCCCGCGGCTCAGCTTGTGCCAACACGGACAGTCTGCCCCTTGGTGGCCTGTGCGTGTGTGTATGAGGTACCTTTCAGTTTGCACCCTTTCACACCTTGAGGTAGCTTAAGTGGGGAATTCTGACATGGGGTTGGGGAAGTAGTCTTCATGGTGGAAGATGACGGCGTGACTCAGCCATCAGACAATCCCTGGATCTCCCCTGGGTTCCCACAGGTGTTTATGTACCCTGGGCCCACTGCCACCCCTGGCTGGTGGGTGGATTGTTTTTCTCTCCTGGACCTGTCATTTCACCCCAGTATCTTTTAACTCCTTTATGCTGGGATCTTGAGACAGTAAGTATAGGATTGGCAACTCCCTGTGTGTGGAAACCTAGTGTTCTTAGCTCAGATAAGAGTGAGCTCAGCTGCGGAGGGTGGTGCTAATATCCTCCTGACTTCACAGTGTTTTTACCTTTGCATGGACCCATCCCAGTATCCTGAGGCGCCAACATGTCAGGAGGTAGCCCTAGAGACAGGCCCTTATGAAACCATTTGGCATAGGTAGCTGATTAAACCCTGGGTTACAGATGTTTAAGAAGCTAATATTTATATGAAGCAATTAGGAAAGAAAAAGAAATAAAAGGCATCCAAAGTAGAAAAGAAGAGGTAAAACTCTTTGCAAATGACATGATTATGTATGTAGGCAATTCTAAGGAATACGTCCTCCCGTACAAACCGATTAGAATGAATAAATGAGTTCATCAAGGTTGCAGGGTACAAGATCAATATACAAAAACCAGTGGTATTTCTTTTTTTTTTTTTAATGTTTATCTTTGAGAGAGAGTGTGTGAGTGGGGGAGGGGCAAAGGGACCCGAGGACAGAGAATCTGAAGCAGGCTCTACATGATGACAACAGTGAGCCTGATGTGGGGCTTGAACTCACAAACCATGAGATCATGACCTGAGGCAAAGTCAAACGCTCAACTGACTGAGCCACCCAGGCACCCCACCAGTGGTATTTCTTGATACTAGCAATTAACCAAATGAAAATGAAATTAAGAAATAATTCCACATATAATCATTTAAGAAAGAATAAAATAGGAGTAAATTTAACAAAAGTACAAGACTGATACCCTGACAACTATAAAATATCATTGAAAGAAATTGAAGAAGACTTAAATACAAGGAAAGATATCCCATGTTCAGGGATCAGAGACTTAAATATTGTTCAGATGACAATACTGTCCAAATTGATCTTCAGAATCAGTGCAATTTCTATCAAAATCCTGTTGGCTTCTTTGCACAAATTGATAAACTGATTCCCAAATTCCTACAGAAATGCAAGGGACCCAGAATAGCCAAACAATCCTTGAAAAAGGAGAACAAAGTGGGATTCACACTTCCTGGTTTCAAAACTTAAAAAAGTGTGGTACTGGCATACCAGTAGACATCTAGGCCCATGCAACAGAATGGAGAATGCAGATATAAACCCTCACATGTATGGCCAATTGATTTTTGACAAGTGTGTCAAGAGAATTCAATGAGAAAGACAGTCTCACATGGCCCTAGGAAAACTGGATATCCATGTGCAAAAGGATGAAGCTGGTGAAGGGGACTCAGATACAAACTTCCAGCTAGAAAAATAAATAAGTCACAGGGATGAAAAGTACAGCACAGGGAGTATGGTCAATGATGTCATAATCAGGTTGTGTGGTGACCACACTTGCCGTGGTGTGAGCCTTGAGTAATGGATGGGATTCTGGGACTTTGATGTTGTACACCTGAAACCAATATCACTTTGTATGTCAGCTATACTTCAATAAACAAAAGAAGGAAGCTGGACTCCTACCTCACGCTGTATTAAAAATTAACTCAAAATGCTTCAAGCCCTAAATGTAAGAGTTAAAACTGTAAAATTCTTAGAAGAAAACAGGCATAAATCTTTGTGACCTTGGACTAAGGTCACAATCAGACTACTAGTGATTTCATAGCCATGATAAAGCAAATGCAAAAAGCAAAAGCAAAAAGCAAATGCAAAGTAGGTCAATTGAACCTCATCAAAACGGGGTGCAGAACTTTTGTGCTTTGAAGGACATAGTCAAGAAAGTGAAAAGACATCTCACAGAATGGAAGAAAATGTTTGCAAATCAGATACTCCTATCCAGAATATATCAAGCACTCTTACAACAGAACAATAAAAAGACAAGCCAAGTTTTAAAAGGGGGCAGAATAGGGGTGCCTGGCTGGCTCAGTCACTGGAGTGTGAGACTCTTGATCTCAGGGTTGTGAGTCTTATTACTTGAAAATAAAATCTTTAAAGAAAAGGGGCACAAAATAATCAAATAAACAAAAAAAAGACATATTTTCCTATCTTCTCCAACGAAGACATAAAAATGGCCAATAAGCCCACGAAAAGATGCTCAATATTATTATTCATTAGGAAAATGCAAATGAAAACCACAGTGAAGGGCCACTTCACACCTGCTAAGATGGCCGTGATCAAAAAGATGGGCAATAGCAGGTACTGGCAAGGATGCAGAGTGATTGGAACTCTCATACACTGCTGGTGGGAATAGAAAATGGTCCAGCCGCTTGGAACATACTTTGGCTGTTTCTCAAAAAGTTAAACATAGAATTACCATATGAGCCAGATATGCCACCCCTAAGTATTTACTCAAGAAGAGAAATGAGAGCCTACTCAGATACAAAGACTTGTACATAAATGCTCATGGCATCATAATTTATAATAGCCCAAAACAGAAATAGCCCAGGTGTGTATCAACACGTGAATGGATGAACACGGTCTGTCCGTATGATGGCATATTATGGGGCTGTAAAAATAAATGAGATAGAGTGATTCATGCTACCACATGGATGAACCTTGAAAACAGTATGGGAGTGAAAGAAATCATTGCAGAAAGCCGCATACTGTATGGCTCCATTTTTGTGAAATGTCTTGAGTAGGCAGATCTGTAGAGAAGTCTTCAGAATTGTGGTTGCCAGGGGCTGGAGGCCATGAATGCTAATAGATACAGGGTTTTTTTTGGGGGGTGGGGGTGGGGTGGGTAGGTGATGACAATTTTCCAGAATTAGTGATGATGGTATGTGATGTTTAGAATAGGGCTAAAACCACTGAGTTGAGCACTTTAAAAGAAGTTAACAACAACAGAATGTTTACCAGCTAAGTTCAGAGGTGGCCAGCTGGAAGCATGAATCCCTCAGAATCCCCCTGAGCTGCCTGTTTGTTTGTTTCTCTCTGTGACTCACCATTTAGGAGGGATGGTTTTCTTATTCACTTTTTCTGCAAGAGATGGTACCACTTGGCCAGAGGTACCAGGAGTGATTTCCCCCGCCCTTGCTGTAGTAAAGGCACAAGCGATATCTTGTGGCTGCAAACTGTTGTGTTTTATTTAGAAGAGTAATTCACCAGGGGTCTCAAAGGTTTTGCTTACTTAGGAAATGTGTCTTCAAGGGTCCTCTCAGGCTTGAGGTAGGACGTGAGCATGCCCGAGAAATACCTTTGGTTATTAAATACAGGATGTTCTGGATCAGAGGTTTTCCGACTGGGATTGGCCAGCTCACTGGCACCCTGGGACACTTTTTTTTTCTACACATATTTTTTGGACTCACTGTGGCGCAAGCAAGAGGACTTCCCAAAAGTCACAGATCCACCCTCTAAACACACTTTCTTCTCGCTCCACCCTGCATTATGCACGCATGTATGCACACAGTCCAAGAAGCTAGCACGGTCCTGATGTTTGGGGAGCAGTCATGCGCTGAAATGCCGGTATTCAGACTCTTGCCATTTAGCACAGGATCTTCAGTACTGACTGGGGACTGAACACTGCATCACCTTTGGGCCCTGAGACAGTATTGCTGTGAACGTCCTGATGGCGTCAACACCAGCCAGTCCTTGCTTTTTGGAAAGCGAACAGGATGCCCACTTGGGGTCTTTGTGGCCACATAGACAACCCCGGAGCACTCTGGGAGCAAAGCACCCGTGGCAGGGCCTTTTGGCATTTGAGCCTTTCTGTTCGTGAGCCAGCGATGCTACAGTCTCTGCTGTTCCAGGAAAGTTGTCTCCCTAGCAGCTGACAGAGGCCACTGGGGCTCGAGGGCACAGCCACTCACGGATTTTCCTGACTAGGGGCACAACCTCCCTGAGACCCCTGGAGTTGCAAGATTCTTGGGCACTGGAGCCACTGGGATGTTTCCCTTATTCTCTTCCTCTGACAGCTCTGGATGGTTCCTTGGATCTTATAATGGTGCCAGAGTCTGTTGTATAGCAAATCCGTGGGATTTGATTTCAGCAGCACCCGTGAGTCCACACCCCACCCAATGCTGGAGGAAATTTCCACCGTCTCAGTCTTTCCCCTGCCAAAGCCCGGAAGCATGAGCCCGTGGCCCAGGACAGTGTCTGAAGCTCGGTTGTTTCTGTCCTTCCCCAGACCCCATGCCTGAGGTCTGTGAATCATCTTTTCCCACAGCATCAGACCTGTCGACAAACCTAACATGTGGCTGGAGGCGCCAGTAAACTGGACCATGAGCATTTTCTCCTGGGATGATTCATTCTGATGGTCAAAAGTGACATGTGAACACTTGAAGACGCCGAGCCTTATTTCTTTAGGCCCTGGGGAAAAAAGTGCCACACAATTTGCTCTCCTTTGGGGACGGATCTGTGGGTTACCCTGCAGGAGGCTGCCTTTTACAAAGACCCTTGTTTCACAGTGCTCCACCTGTTGTATTTCATTGCGATGAAACCCCACTGAATGCAAAATGTGAATTCCTTGATTTTGTTCTCCTGTGGTGACTTTTCTGTGGACTGTGCCCATCGCTGAATGATGTGGCAGATAACAAGGTGTCTGCTTCCTTAACTGCTTTATAAAAGGTGCAATGAATAAACATTTTTCCCCCATGCATTGCTTTGGCCTCTTTCTCCCTCCTCAAAACAGTGACCATGTCTGGTGCCCTGCAGATTTGGAGTCCCCTGTGGGGGCGGGGGGTGCAGAGTTTTCTGCCTGATGGTGACATAGGTGCACCTGGGTTGAGTCTGGGATGGGGGTGGGGGTACCTGGTCCCATTATTGGCAGTCACGACGTGTCAGAGTTCTATCAGAAGATGCTCTAAGACCCAGGCATCGACCTCTGGTACGACTTAGCCACACTCCTTGGGGCTAACTCTGGAGATAATGAGACTCTGGATTGTCACCTCAAAGGGACCCTAACACATATTTCTTCCAGTGACGGGGCGGGGGGGCACTTGCAGAACCACAGATGGGTTCGTGTTCATTCCTGGGCCTCCTGACTCACGCTCTGGAGCTGGGACCTTAAGCCTGCATTTTTTTTTTTAGTTTTTTTTTTATTATTATTATTTTTAATATTTTTTAATTTATTTCTAGGAGAGAGAGAGAGACAGCGTGAGCAGGGGAGGGGCAGAGAGAGAGGGAGTCACAGACTGAAACAGGCTCCAGGCTCTGAGCTGGCAGTCAGCACGGAGCCCGACGCGGGGCTCGAACCCACGAACCATGAGATCATGACCTAAGCGAAAGTTGGACGCTTAACCGACTAAGCCACCCAGGCACCCCTAAGCCTGCATTTTAGCAGGACTCCCTGATGAGCTGAAGGTAGCATGTGAGAGAGGGTAGAACTCCACCTCCCTCCTCTGGCCTGTCCCCACTCTGCCCCCAGTGTGCGGCTCTTCCCGCTACTCCTCAAGGAGATTCTGGAAGGAACAGAACTCAGACATACATGCATCTTAAATGGGTGACCTTTCTCCAGCTCTGTGAACCTGACAGGTAACTGAGCACGTGCTATAGTCTGCCCCTAGAGAAAGGGAGCAAGCTTGAAAAATTGGCGTTGTTGTCAAATCAGGTTATAGAAAATGCCAAGATGGTGGGAAATCCCTGCATAATCCAAGATTCCAAGTCTGAAACTGATGGGCTGATGTTTGAAAGGGCAGCCCCTTTGAGGGGATGTAAGTAATACTGACTGTAAACCTTTTCAGCAGGAGGAGCCTGGGCTGGTTGAGTCCACCTGGGAATGGGAAGAGGCCCAGGATACAGCCAAGAGCGATGGCCTGGAGCTGGTGTGCTCAGATGCTTGTCTAAACTTCTGGCAAGTCTGCTGACTTCTCTGGGCTCTAACTTCCCCACCTGGAAACAACCAAGAGATGGCTACTAAAGTGTTTAGAAGTAAAAATACTGATATCTGCAGCTTATTTAAAAATGCATAAAGAGGGACACCTGGATGGCTCAGTTGGTTAAGTGTCTAAATCTTAGTGTCAGCTCGGGTCATGATTTCACAGTTTGGTTTGTGAGTGAGAGCCCCATGTCGGGCTCTGCACTGACAGCTCAGAGCCTGCTTGGGATTCTCTCTCTCTTCCTCTTTCTGCCCCTTCCCCACTTGTGCGTGCTTGCTCTCTCCATCTCTCTCAAATAAATAAAAATTTTAAAAAATATAAAAATGCGTAAATAAACCTGAGGTTGGTGGATGTTAGAGCTCGACAAAGCAGCAGCAGTAAAACGTTCATTGCTGAGCCCGGACGGTGTGCAGATAGGTGTTCACAGCAAACCCTTTCAACTTTCCTCTGTGCTTGAAAGTGTCATGATAAGATAGATACTAGAAAAAACAAAAACAGGCAAAATTTTAGGGCTGAGATGGACATTAGAGATCATTTTATGGATGATAAAATAGAGGCCAGAAAAGGCAACTAAGAGGAGAGACAAGACTGGACCTGAGGCTGCCTGTCCCCTTTCATTCCACTCTTCCACACTGCTTGGGCTCGTGGCCAGGCACCAGTGAGATGATACCTCTGAAACCCTGCTGTGGAACCGCAATTTTATGAGACTTAAATGGGTGTTGTATGAAAAAAAAAAAAAAAAAAAAAAGTGGGATTGGGACACACTGGCGTAAACAAGTTTCTTTACTGCAGGACTTGCCAGAGCCTTTAATGTACTAAAGTCTGTTGAAAATCTCTGAGAGAAATATATAGCATTTTCCAGGCAAATTAAAAAAAAAAAAAAGCCATACCCACCTTTTTTTTTTTTTTTTTTTTTTGAGGACTAAGATCTGGATAACACTGTTGGGAAAGGCATCTCTAAAGAACGTGAGATTGCTCTTTTCTTCCCCCCAAGGGGCTCGGTGTTTGGTGAGCCAAAGGGGAGGCCCAGAGAGTTCTGAACCCAAGCCCTGCCCTCAGTGGTGCCCAGGGAGGGTCTCCTGCCCCTTCCAGCCCAAAGGTCGTTTTCTTCTGTCGGTGACTGCTGGCTGGCGCAGGGTCTCCATGGGAATACAGTCTCTCAAGGAACACGGGGGAGCAGATGCCCAGCCAACAAGAAGAAGCCCAAGAGAAACCAAATTCTGTTCTGGCTCTTCAGTTTAGCAGAGAGAAGGGCCAGCCGACTTGCCCCGCTTCCTCAGGGCAGCAACACTGTATTTTTGGAGCTCATCAGGCCACGCACCTACCTTACGGACACACAAAAACACAGCGTTCCCAAGATGCAGCCGAAACCCTTTATTGGAGCCACCCTCCTAATGCGAGGAGTCACCGGTAGCTTCCCCGGGCGGCGTGCATCAACAGGTTGACTCCGGGTGGGAACGGAGTGCAGGTTTATGCTGTTACAGTACAAGTGAATGCAAAGACTTGCAGTAGCTGCCTCTTAGCAAATTATCTTTCCTCGTGCCCGGTCACAGGGGCAGCGAGGTGGGGCGGGGGTGGGGGGCAGAGTGAAGGGCCACTGGGCTTCTCTGGCAGGACTGTCTTTTCTTTCTGGCTTCCCTAAACCGTGTGCTCCCATCGTAGGGTGGGAGGGGGCAGGGACTAGCAGCTGGCCGGCAGGCCCCTGGAGCCGTATGGTGGGGCCAGCCTCCCCTGACTCCCCCCTGCCCGACCGCCCCGGCCGCCCCACCTGGCTTTACACTTCCTTCCGCAGCACCACCTTGATGTTGCTGCAGATCTGGCCCAGGGCAGCAAAGAGCGGGTTGCAGAAGGTACGGATGCAGAGGGAGTAGATGTGGCTGATGCACTGGATCTCGATCAGGTAGCTCTTGATGCACGGCACCACCGCCCAGATGTGGCAGAAGGAGATGCAGGCGAACAGGAAGCCCCAGAGCAGGGCCAGCGGGACCCCCAGCAGCGTGGACAGCAGGCGGTAGCACCAGTACTTGGAGACGGTGAAGGTGGTGTAGCTCACCTTCCACACGCCGTCGAAGCTGTAGGTGCCCACGGGCTCCGCAATCACGTCTTCAAAATCTACCTGCAGGGCGGGAGGGGGCAATCCTCAGGTCATGGCGTCCACCCACTCCTCGAGCTTTGGTGTGCCAGTGTCAGGACCCTCTGGAGGGCTTGTTACACCTGACGGCTGGGCCCCGCCGCCAGGGGCTCAGACCCAGCATGGCGCATGCGGGGCCTGAGACTGCATTTCTAGCAAGCTCTCCACGTGTGCTGCTGCTGCTTCCCCAGAGCAGTGAGACGGGGGCTGGTCCAGCCCCTCGTCTCGTAGGTGGGTACACAGGCCCTGCGGAGTTGAGTGACTTGCTTAAAGCCAACGGTAAGGTAGACACAGACCTAGAGGTGTGGTCCTCAAATCTGTTATTTTCTGATCCTAGAGAGTCAGACAGTCCCAGGCATCCTGGGGCTACGGAGGACACATCCAGCCAGGCTGATACCTGAAGGCAGCCAGGTGGAGGCAGGCGCCTGGGCTGGAACAGCATATTGGGTGCTGCTGGGACCTAACGGGATGGACAGTGTGTGCCTCAGGGCGAGGCAGGTACTCCGGGAAGGCGGGGGGCCAAGGCCAGAGTGCCCAGAGTGAGGCCGGAGAGGCCTGGAGGGACAGTCACTCTGTGATGAGCGTTTGGGACTGGCGTGGGCAGATCTGAGTTGATTTTTTTTTAATTGAGGTATAATTGATACATAATTTTATATTAGTTTCAACATAATGATTCAGTATTTGTATCTATCGGGAGACGATCACCACATTAAGTGTAGTTAACATCCATCACCACACACGGGTACAAATTTGTGTGTGTGACGAGAGCTTTTAAGATCTACTGTTAGCACCTTTCGTATATGCAATACGGTATTGTTGGGTATAGTCACCATGCATCCGTGACTTGTTTATTTCATAAGTGGAGGCTTGTTCCTCCGGACCCCCTGCGCCTGCCCCCTCCCCCCACCTCTGGCAGCCCCCAGTCTGTTGTCCGTTCTCTGATCTGAATTTTGAGCAGCTGTTTGGGCCAGGGGTGGTTGGGAGAGAGGATGCAGGTGGGGTCCAGCAGGGGCGGTCACAATATTCCAGGTGAGACCTGATGATAGCCTCGTTTGGGGTGATGGTGGGGGGTTAGAGAGAGGCGCACGGGTCTGAGAGTCACTTTAGGATGTAGCAAAGTGAGGGGCGTGTCTTCCTGGCTCGTAAAGGTGTCTGCAACCCGGGTGTGGCCGAGCAGGCCTGAAGCACCTTGTGCAGGAGACAGGAGACAGGGATTTCCCCCCTCACTCTAGTCCTATGGCAGCCTCAGACTCTCCTCCCCCTGCTGCCCACCCAGCCCTCCTGGCTGTGGGAGGAGCATGGGCGCTCTGAGAGTCCAGTTCATACATTCCACTGAGATGATGACTGAGGCCCCATTTGGAAAGTGGGAAAGAATCATCAGTAAACCTGGGGGGAGGGGGAAGGTTGTACTTTCAGCCAAGTCACTTAACTAACCTTTCTTGCGTCCCTGTTTTACATTGAAGACCATCATAGCTGCTTTCTCCTATGTGATGTCCTTCAGCGTCACTAAGCCTTAGCTGTCGTGTCTGTAAAATGAGAGCATGGCCGTCTTCCATGTTCCTGGGCTATTTTAATAAAAGTTGGTTGAGTGAATGCTCAAACCGATCAGACTAATGGTGGAGGAGACA